ATATACCAATGTAGGTAATAACAGAGGGTCCTTAATGACTTAATGACACCTGTGACAATGTGGGTACGCTAATCTGTAAACCGGTTGTTCAGGCCGGTTTACAGATGAACATCCATCCATCATGAACATCAGGCATCCGCAATGCCTGATGTTCATGAATTTCCAAAGATTCCAAATAATTGAGTTTCCAAACTTTGCCTGCATAGTGCAAAATTTTTGTTTCGTTTATATTCGGAAAATTGTGGAATGCAACCACATCTTGAAAAATTATTTTCATCCTACATTTTTAACGGCGTTGTTTATCATTTCAGCCTATTGGAGTTCATTGCCGATTAGGTTTGGGACGGACAGGTGTCATGGTTGCTGTATACCTCATTTATTTCCATGGAATGGCAGCCGATCAAGCTTTGAAAAACTTGCGATACCTTCGACCAGGATCTGTGGATTCTCCCGTCCAAGAGGAGTGTGTTTTGAATTACAGACCAGCTGCCAGAATAGAAAATGAAAAGAGATTAAAGAAAATAACAAAGAAGTCCAATCATTTCTTGAGTTTCTTAAGAAATGATGAGAAATCAGGTGTTTGGGGTCTGCCTCGTGTGGAGTATGTTGTTCCTAAATGATCACGACTTTTGAAATGAATATGTAGGTTGTTTGACACATATCTTGATTAAAACTTGACAGCAAGACAAAAAGTGAGTTTTTTTTAAGTTTTGGAATTTCAGTTAGTTTCAGTTCAGTTTTTTCAATAACATCAGTTATTGAAAAAAAAACTGAGAAAAACAAGCTGAATACTTTGAAACAGTTGACTTCTTGATATGCGAGTATAAGTGTTCTACGATGATTATGTGCTCGAAACTGCTGCTGCTAATCTCGAATGGGTACAGTCACCAAAAATTAAAAAAAATATGATGGCAGTGGAAGAGTTGAATGTTTATTGAAATATTTCCGTTGAATTTAGAACAGTTCTTGTTCACATTTACTGAACTCTATCAGGTTGATCGGAGCCATTTCAATTGCATACAACTTGTATTGTTTACATGTCTGGATTGCGCACACAAAGAAAAATATCTCAGGTTGAGAGAATCTCCATATCTCACAATACAGGAGTGCTCACTCTAATTCTTGTCCACTTAGTAGACCACATAAGGCAATAGGTTGGGTTGGTCTTTGATAGAAAAAAGTTTGAGACTTGATATTTCCAAGTGTGTAGAAAAAAGAACAATAATTCATCAAAAGAGTACGCAATAGAAAATCTTTGGATTTTTGACAGGCGTACACCTTTCATATTTGTACGATTACTAGATATGTGCAATTGAGATACGACCGGTTAATTATTTCAATAAAATAATAATATAATGATGGTCGTCTACTCTGCATTAAACCTGACGAGGTGTGAGTTTATTCAATTTTGTAATGCATTTATTTTAGTTCATGCCAATTACGTTTGAAATATAAAACAATTTGAATTCTGGTTGAATTTCCTCAGAGAAATCCTTCTCTTGGCCCACACGTTACAAGAAGATTGAAGTCGGTACTTTTGATGGAATTTATCAAAATACGGAAATTGCACATTCAGATGAAAACTGCTCTACAGAGTTTGAAGTTTGCAGTTTCATCATTCAGCAGAAGAAGTTTGTATCTTCTGACGAAGAATAAGTATGTTTATTCTTTCATCAAATGAAATACTAATGAAGGTTCGACGAAGTTGTTTGCCAGGGCTCTTCCGGCTTGCATTGAAGGTCACTACTCTTCTGGCGTAGATACAGTAGCAGCATTTTGCGACGTAACTAAATAGAACCTAGATAAGGTTCCAATTCATAAACTATTATCAAATATTTTTCCATCCAACCCAAAGTAGGTACTGCCCAAACAAAAACTCGGTTCACAATATGCGTTTTGGCAGGTTTGACCCAAGAGAAACTCACCAAGAAAAACTCACCCAACAAACAACTCATGACCTTCATTCCAAGTGCGGAGAAGAAACGCCTTCGAAGAGAAACAGTTTGGTAGTATTTGTCTTGAATATTGAACCTTGAAGTATCAACTAATCCAATTCATGAGAGGGAATATTGGTAAAAATTAGGACGAGTATAATGAATCTCCTTCAACTTCTATAAACTTCTCTGGGAAAATGTCAAAAAGTAGGTATTCTTCACTTCAAGAATGTCTTGGTATCCTTTAAGAATAAGATAATCTGATTTCAGGTATATTATTAGGAATTATGAACTAGAAAAAGGGTATCAAAACTCAATTATTCATATGGTATTATTTCAAGGTAGATATTCAATTTCGGGTGACAATGTATGAAACTTCATAGTCATGGAATAAAGAGGTCGAGAATAGACAATTATCAACTCATTTTCATACCAATAGATAATAAGGATCTATTTGAAAATTTGTTTCACCTATTAGATATCTTCTGATATATCGTGAAGACATCACTACAAAGGTATTTGATTTATTTGACAAAACGTCCAGAAGGCAGTTTGAATCACCAAAGAAAAATTCATTATACGAATTTGACAACCATTTCAGAAAGTTGGCCAGAAAGTTACCTACAGAAAATTCTATTGAATATTGAAATACAGTAAACGAAAATTTTGTCGATTTATTTCTGGAAGCGACTTCGATAATATGTCAAATAGAGCTGAAAGGACATTGTAAAAAACTCTCAGGCACATGTCCAGTTACTTTAGATTGATGTGTAAAATAGGTGGAAATGAAGCATATTCTTCTGGAACTATATTACATATACAGTCGAAAGCTGGTTGCACCCTTTCTTTTCAAAACTGCATCTGTTTCGAAATGGTTGGCCTTTTCATAACAACATAACACACGGAAATCAATCAAAAGAAAAGTATTCCATAACTATATGAAAAGTTCCTGAGATTTTCAAGTTGAAAATTTTGGCATTGTCAACTTATACGTCATATTTGTACACAATTAAATTTTTGGCAATTGGAATACGATTTGATATAATTTTCAATTTTGCGATAGCCAGATGAATGATTATTGAAAAATAAGTGGAAATGTCATGTGAAACCTTTCTTCTGGCTGGGATATGATTTCTAAAATAATTTGTAAAACATGTGTAATTGATTTCCTTATTTTTCATCAAATTATAAATAATAAAGACCCATGATTTTTATGAACGTAGGAACAATTTTGTGTGGCAAAAATAATTTTGTTAGAGAACAAGCATATGTAGTCACTTTCCATATCATTATTTCATACCTAATGCAGCAATTGTCATCATCCTATGGCATTACTTTGTTGAAGAAATCAAGAGGTTGACGTAGGTAGATAGTGTTCATCTAATGAAATGTCGCAATAGAGGTTGAAATGTCCTATTTCATTTCTGACGTCTGATTTACTTTGAATTTGTACGCCACATTGGTTAATATGAGGTGAATATAATGTAAACATGTCTTCTTCCAGATAGGTCGCCGACCGAATCAAAGGTCAATGTAACGTAATTCTAACTGAAAATGTTATTAGAGTATGACAACTTGATTCAATTATTCTCATTTTATTTTGGATCTTTTGTGCCATACAGCAATTTGGACAGATCACAAAAGAGTATAATGCACCACACACTATTATGATAACACAAATCATAATGGATACAGTGATGTGTCAGAATAAGTGTTCGATCATTCTCAGTGTGCTGAAAGATTCAATCACAATGTTACCGCCTTTTTACGATATTTTTATGATGCACTGTTTGGAACCTTTGGTGTAGTAATGGATATTACTGGAATTTTTTCCAGAGGAATATTAAAACATCTTTGAAGATGATCACTTTGTGATCGAAACACGTGTCGAGGTGGTAAAAATAACGATTTGGTGTTGGGAAAAAACTCCAGTAATATTCACGATCTTCTTCACTCATATTAGGATTGGTAGCCGGTTGAGTGAGTAGACATGAGTAGTTTATTCTACTCATTCTATCGACCGCTGAGTGAAATAGTCATTTAAGGTCTACGGTCGGATGATCGATCTTCACTGCTCATCGTCCAACCTGTGCTAGAAATCGCAGGTTGAAAGGCAAGACCTCGTTAATCCTTAGCTCGCATGATTTCAACTTCTGAAGAATGTCGTTTGTAGGAAGTCGACAGTTGGTTGACAAAAAACCAGATTTCAACAGATTTCACTAATCAATATGACCAATGAATATGGAAAGTGTTTTATGTTTCATGGCCTTTATGCAACAGTCACTTCAGATGCTTCAATTGCAAATAACACTTTCATTGATATGTTACAGATACTAGTTTCGCAACGTAATTTGTCATGCTTGGGTATGAACGTTCCTTTAGTTCGCACAAGCCTTCTCAATATTTCTGAGCATTGCTTGATAGTTGGGAGGTTCTCAAACTAATGATTCAGAATGAAAATTAGGAATTATTCAAAATCACTAAATTTGAAGGAACTGGTTAGTTTGGTATGAATGCAATAATACATCAATGACACAGGAAAAGTTATGCTCTAGGAATTATTCAACCTACTAGATATTTCAAATTTTGATCATTCGATATGAATCCGTGTTAGGAATCACACGTTAAAAGGTATGACCTCGTTAGTCCTTAGCTCGCACAAGTTTCTCAACTTCTGAGAGTTGCCGTTCGTATGGAGGCGACAGCTGATTAACGAAAAAACATATTTTAAACAGAATATATCTATTACTTATATCTTTGTTATATCGTATTCCCTTATTTCTTTGTGAAGTTTGTTTACCGTCAATAGATGTCAAAGAATTTGGAGACTATCAACCATTCACTTTTATTCTCAAAGACTTTCCCTTTAAAAAGCACCAATCACATTGGTGTTCAATTAGGTTTTTGTATACCACACCCCATCCCCACGAAAAACCCTATGATACTTATAAAGCTATATGCTACCGACTTTCCAGTACCCACATGAAATAAATCGCAAAGAACAGTTGATAAACTGGTAAAATTACGATAGAATAACGGGATTTTCCATCCGATATTCGGTTCATAAAGTCCGCGAATGATTATTTATAAAGTATTGTACTTTTTGGCACTGAATACATACCATTTCGTAAAAAAACAATACTTTTTGTTCAATTCTTGCATATATATATACCATCACTGAAAAATGTTTTTCAATACAACTGCAAATATCCCAACTGAAGTTATTAAGTTTTATTTTATACAGCAATATTTCGATGCAGCAGGTAATTCCCAATACACCAACACAAAGACAATTTAATAATACCAGCAATTCTGGACTGATTTCACCTACACGAAATCTAGCAAAAGCGTTAGTTCACATGTAAACAACATTCATAACACAAGTAGGCTGCTATTCTGCAGAAGGGTTTTGACGGTGGCACACTGTAGTAGCACGGAATAATAGATATTCTGTGGTAGTAGCATTAGTATGTTCAGTCCAGTAGTGCAACATTGTCAACTCGAAACTGTCTATTACTACAAATTGATGTTTAGAAGTGATTGAATATAGACGGTTATGGCATTTTGCGAAAATATGGACCTACTAGTGAAATACATTATGTGAGATAGTGAAGCAAACTAGAAAAATATTGCAATCTTCCGCGGTGGTAGTTACATAATATATTTTTAGTGTAGATTATCAATAATTCGTTCTTTTTGTAGGTTAGTGCAAAATGGCAGAATGGAGGTGAGTGATAGACGATTATAATTAAGTGATT